ATAGCGCTAATCCGCTAAGCCGCTAATAGGATTGCTTCGCAAGACGAAAAAACCGCTAGACGAAGAGACTCGCAGAACGGATTAATTTCGTCTTGCAAGGCACCACTGTAATAGGATTCCTTAACTGAGCAGCTAGATAAATGGGGTCCGCCATCATCAGTCTTGGCTCTCACAACTCTGTACACTCCAGCCCAACTTTCTGCTTGTCCCTGCATGGCACCAGGTGCTACTTCAATAGCAATTCCTGATCCATATGTAGCCAAAGCATCCCTTGTGGTGCCTTCAAGTCATTGCTAGACTACAACTCCCATCATCCTTGACCATTAGTCACGCTGGTTGGAGGTGATAGGAAACTGGGAGCCCAAGTAGGTCAAGAAGGAGAAAGGGTAATGTAAAGAAAAAGAAGGAACATTTAATCATATGTGGTGGGAATGTAAGAAAGTAAAGAACTTCTGGGAAATGATATATAATGAGATGAAAAAGATGTTGAAATATACATTTTTTAAAAAACCAGAAGCATTTTTACTTGGTATTATAGGCCAACACATTAATAGGCAAGATGTAAAATTGTTCTTATATGCACCAACAGCGGCAAGAGTACTGTTAGCCCAGAAATGGAAGCAAGAAGAAATTCCGATGAAAGAAGAGTGGCAGACGAAATTAATGGACTATGAAGAATTGGACAAAATGACAGGAAGGATTTGAAACCTGCGGGACCAGAGATTTACAGAAGATTGGGAGAAGTATATGAATTATTTGAAGAGCAACTGTAACCAACAAATTACGCTAGTAGGACTACAAGAAGTTTTGTAAGGAGAAATATACGAAGTGTTACAAAGTAGAAAAAGATAGAGATATTGGTTATGAGTTTGAAATGTAATAGGGAAAATAAGAAATGCATACTAAGAGATTAGATGGGGAAATTTTCAGACAGTACTGATAGAAGTCAAAAAAATAGAATAAGATGTAAAAGTATGTTTAATTATTGTTGAAAATGGTATGTTAAAAAACTAATAAAAATTAATATATATAAAAAAGGAGAAATGGCATCTCAACTCTGCACTGGACCAACCTAAATAGACTTAGAAAATGGGGAAACAGTTAACTCCTGTACCAATTCATCTCTTCCCCACCCCAGATCAACAGGCTATAGCCCATCTGACTCCAGCGAAAATTGTCACAGGTTGGATGCAGCTATTTCAATTCACACCAGCTGAGGACTTTGTTCAGTAATGAGCACCAAAAGCCCACTTTAAATGGGCTCGTGATCTATCCAGGAGAAGGTGGGGGGCAGATGGGGGGTGGGGAGGGTGTCCTTTGCCGCATCACAGCCACACAGAAAGAGAACAGGCAGGCAGGTAATCGCAAGTGATAAAAGGGACTTGTGCTCTCCAGATTAGGAGGAAATGAAGCATGGCACATCAATTCAAGGCTGAATCAGTTTCACAATTGACGCAGGGCAATTAACCACGCCATAGGAGTGACTGCCTACAGTTACTTTTGAATGGAGACCTCGCCTGCTCTTCGCATCAGGGAGGCGGGAGGGGTGGAGACTGGAGACAAGGGAAGCCGGGAGAGCTTTTGTTTTTGAATGACAGCAGCCACAGCGACAGGCTGCCCTGCTGAGAGGCTGCCAGCTGAGGTCATTAACAGAAGCATGGCTACAGCGGAGGCAAAGCCTGCCCATCGAGAGGCAGCACAAGTAGGAACTGCAACAAAGTGTTGCAGCGCTGGAGTGCAACTCCTCTTCGGCGTCCCAGCCAGCCATGTGCTTTTCCTGGATGCCGCCTTCCATTCAGCCCACCCAATGGTTCACATAAACAGAGCTGGAGAGCATTATATTGCATGCTCTGGAAGGCAGGACTCGAACCAATGGCTTCAAGTTACAAGAAATGAGACTCTGGCTAAACATCAGGAATAACTTTCTGACAGTGAGAGCTGTTTGACAGTGGAACGGTATCCCCTCGAGAGGTTGTGGACTCTCCTTCCTTGGAGGTTTCTAAGCAGAGATCGGGTGCCCATCTGTCATGGGTGTTTTAGCTGAGATTCCTGCATTGCAGGGGGTCAGACTAGATGACTCTTGGAGACCCTTCCCACTCTACAATTATATGATTCTATAATTCTACATCAGGCTCGGGTCTGTTTGGACTTTTTGCACTCCTGCAAACCTTGAGCCCACCGATATTTACTGTGTGGATGATTCCATTTTTGCAATAGACAGTGGACGCTCAGGTTGCAAACGTGATCCGTGTGGGATGCACGTTCGCAACCCGCAGCGTTCACAACCCGCATCTGCGCACGCGTGGGTTGCGATTCAGCGCTTCTGCGCATGCACAAAGCGTGATTTAACACTTCTGTGAATGAAAACAACCGCTGAAACCCGGAAGTAACCTGTTCCAGTACTTCCAGGTTTCGGCGGTCCGCAACCCAAAAAGATGCAACCTGAAGTGGCTGTATGACTGTACTTGAAGAACTCAGCTCAGTATGCAGGGAATGAGACAGAAGCATATCAATGCCATATTTTGATGAATGTCCAAATTTAGTGAATAATGGCATGCATGAATAAACACTGACAATCAGAAACTCTTCACCCCCCCCCAAGGGCAAACCCTCACTTCAACTCACTAGGTACTCTCACACAAGACACTAGATTGCCTGACCTCCTCTCCCTTCCTCCCTCAGATGCAATCTGGGCAGAATAATATTGGCCTACCTGGCCAGGTCATTGGAATGATGGGTGACTGGGACAGTGTTTTGTGTATGAAATGTTTTTAAGTGCTACCCCCCAACCTAAAAATGGGGGGAGGCTAAATGATTTGTTTCAATTGGCTTACAAACTGAACGCAATTGTGCAATTTAGGCCTGAGTTGATAAGCGCCAATTAAACTCACAACCTGAAAACACACACACATACACACTTCCCCCCCTACAGAAGGATTTACTCATAACTTCTCCTGTCCCACTCACACTATGATACCACTTTAACAGTCATGTCGCCACCCAAAGAATCATGGGAGCTGTAGTTTGTTACAGGTGCTCAGAGTTGTCAGGAGACCCCTGTTTCCCTCAGAGCGCCACAATTCCCAGAGTGGTTTAACAAACAATCCTAGGCAACTCTGAGCGCTGTAGCTCTGAGGGGAACAGGGGTCTCCTGACAACTCTGAGCACCCATGGGGACAGGGTCAAAGGATTTCCACTTCCTGTCCCAGAAACTCAGCCTTGATCCATATTTTAGACACCTTTCTGGACCCCATAACTCTCATTCTGTAAAAATTCAGCCTTTTGTGAAAGAAAGAAAGAAAGAAAGAAAGAAAGAAAGAAAGAAAGAAAGAAAGAAAGAAAGAAAGAAAGACATTGCTTACATGCAATTCTTTAAAAGTTGAAAGTCATCACTTTTTCATTTCAGTTTTATCGGCTTTCGATACACACACACATGCCGCCCCCTCTCTCCGTGGTTGCATTCTTAAGCTTTCTTTGCCAAATATCTTCATGTGGAAAACTACCAGTGAGAGAACATGAATCCCCATACCTACACATAGCCGCTCCTGCAACACATGCAGGAAACTGCAGACCAAGAGAGGACAATGTGTACACAGGCCAAGAAAGAAGAATTGCTCTCTGACGCAAGACACACAAACTGAGCAATCGCATGAGACATCATCGCAGCCTTGCTCACTCGCAGTCTTGCTGGAGGAGCTATATCAAGTTTCTGAAGGGAGATGAAGCTGCGGGGTGGGTGGGTGGAGGATATTATTTACTACAAGCAAAACAACCTGTGAGGTATCAGGGCCAAGAGGAGACGTTATGAAGGAGCGAGGGCCTCACATCATCCCCCACCCCATACTTTTTCCTCTCCTCCTATATTTGCCTTATAGAGCAACTGCTTTGCACAGAGGATTCATCCAGACTTCCTTTTGCACCATGTACTGACTTGCAGTGGCTGCCCAGTCCTACCTGGCAAGGCCTGTATATCTGCAGGAGTGTCTCCACCCCCATCGTTCAGCCCGGACACTGAGGTCCAGCTCCAACGGCCTTTTGGCAGTTCCCTCACTGTGAGAAGTGAAGCTACAGGGAACCAGGCAGAGGGCCTTCTAGGTGGTGGCGCCCACCCTGTGGAACACCCTCCCATCAGATGTCAAGGAAATGAGTAACTATATAACCTTTAGAAGACATCTGAAGGCAGCCTTGTATAGGGAAGCCTTTTAACGTGTGGTGTCTTACTGTGACTTGATAATTTGTTGGAAGCTCCCCAGAGTGGCTGGGGCAACTCAGTCAGATGGGTGACATATGAATTATTAGTATTACTATAATTCATTATTATAATTATTGAATCTGAGGCCTTCAGCATTTTGGACTGCAACTCACATCTTCCCTGAACAGTGGTCATCTTGACTAGGGATAATGGAAGCTGTAGTCTAAAACATGCTGAGATGGCTAAGCCAATGATCTGACTCAGTACAAGGAAACTTCCTAAAGGACCACTGTGAATGCAAAGTGTTCTGCGTGTTGCTCTTTGGATCCTGGCTATAATCTGAGCTATAATCTGAACTGGATTTTACTTTCAAAGTTCAATAAAGTTTAGACTGGTGTCAGGGAGAGACAGAGAGAGGGTGGGGGAGAGAGAGAGAGGAAAGCAAATTTAATTTCATTGGAACTATACTGCAAGGACCCAAAATGAACCCATCGTCTGCCCCAAGGAATTCAGAATGTCAGAGGAAAGAGCTGGACACACAGACCCTTATGTGCAAAAAGGGGAAATAAAAAAGCAAAGCCTGGGGGATGTTGAATTAACTTTCACTCAAGTGCATATTTGCCTCCCAGGATTCTGTAGCCAGTAGAGATTTGGGCCTCTCTCTCTCTCACAAACACACACAGAGAATTTCCCTGCCCCATCTCAGTGGACAAACTGTGAGGTCTTTGTTATTGTTTGCTTTAGAACATAACTCGGTCGAACTACCTTTTCTTTTTCATTCTTTCCTTTTTTTTCTTTTTTCGTTTTTGCAAGGACAAGGGGTGAGGGGAGAAAGAGAAATGAAATGCAGCGCTCCAGAATCAGAAAGGAAAGCCAAGCTGAAAAAGGTATACCTTTCTTTGATTCTCCAAAATGGCAATGTGGAACACAGTGTCCAAAGATCTCCAGTAGAGAATCTCTGCTTCCTTCACTACTGAACTGTGGGAAACTGCAGTTCATACTAATTTAGCAAAAGAATTATGCCAAGCCACTGCTGGATTCCGGTTTGTTTTAGCAAACATGAGTTAGAATAAAGCATCGTTTCCCTGATTTGTGTGTAATGGGACACACTGATTGGGCCACATTTGCCCTATGCATTTAAACTACTATTATAGCACATTTACTGTCAAACTATCCTGGGAACTATGGTTTGCTATTTGTTGACTGAGCGTAGCTAGGAGACCCTCACAGAGCTAGTTTCCAGAGTGGTTTCACAATCAATCCCTCCTCCCAGGGAACTCTGGGAATTGTAGCTCTCTAAGGGGAACAGGGGTCTCCTAAACCCTCTCAACATCCTTAACAAACCACATTTCCCAGGGTTCTTTGCAGGAAGCCATGGTTATTTAAAGCACTAGGACACTGCTTTAAATGCGTGGTGCAGATGGGGCCTTATCCTTCCCTTGTCCGCAAAGCAAAGGAGAGGGCAAGCAATGTGTGAGCAAAGGATCGGTGCCGATTTGCTTGTGACCATCTGAACCAGAGATTCGAAGCAGTTTTCAGCCAAGGCCCGCATTCCCTTGGCGGAAACCTTCCAAAGTCCATATGGCAGTGGAGCACAAAGCCAGCAGCCGCTGTGGGCAGGACAATGGAGGTGACAATTACCTCTGGACAATTGCCTCCATTCCAGCCATGCAGAGCTCGGAAGGTTCTTCATGCACATCTCTCCGCTCCTCCATAAATGTAGGAAGAGGCATTATCGCAGGTCAAGGGCACAATTCAGCCAGGCATAAGCCTACTGGTGGTGATGGGCTTCTCACAACCTGCCCACCCCCCCAAACGATGACACTAACACTGTGTCCCAGCACAAAACTGGCACTATCTGGGAACAGACACCCCTGGCCTTTTCTATGCTGTAATAAGCTAAACATAACAACAACAACAAACAACAACAACAACGTTACTGTGGAAGAATACACCAAAAGCTTTTTCCTGCTAGTCTCCAGAATTTATGCATTTATAAGAGGCACTCAGTTCTGTTCTGAAAATTATGTCTGTTAACCCTTCAGGGCATGATAAACACCAAATGGGCACTGAAGGGCAGAGGGACTCATCCGAACTCAACATGCTCGGCTTCTCAGCCCTCAAATGAGAAAGTCTGGATATGCCACAAGGAAATAAAAAAACAGAAATTTAAGAGAGTCTAATGTGCTTCCACAACAGCTGCAGTATTCCTGCTGTTTACAAGATGAGGATTCTACCACAACTGTAACTGCAGCAATGCCCTTTTCTATCTGCACTGTTTTTCTGCTGTGCTGAAAAATTACCACCAACTGCTCTTCCAAAAAAATTTTTTAGAAAGGGAACACAATGTCACAATATTCATTACTGACACAATTACACTTTAAAAAGTAGCCAATGACATTTGAAACGACAAAGGTGTCTTTTACAAAAACTGGTTTTCCAACATTGTTGACAAATCTTGGGTTGCTAGGACAAGGCTGTCAGTTCAATTAATTGTCTTGAGAAGGACAAAGTCGCTTTCAGGTATCTGTTTTCGGCACAAAGGAAATAGAAGAATTCTCTAGAGTGTCACAAGTAGGAACTGAAGTTGAGTGTTTGGCGCTTTCTTCAATCAACAACTGACAATGGAGGACCCCAACTTACGGGCCCAGTGTAATTATAACATTTCCTGATCTTTCATCTATGACTGGTTCGCATATAACACAAGCCATTATTTGCTTAACTAACCACAAGTTTCCCACAAACCATCAAACAAAGTTTTCTAACATCATATTTGTTTCCTAGCAGCTCCTGCCTTGTGTCTTTGTAATTTAGCGAGTGTCTGGTACCAAACAAACCATGGTTAAGGAAGGCTACTGGGTTCACACACAATGCCAAGCCATGGTTAAACTAAGGTTCATAAACTAACAAGAAACCATGGCTTCAGTTCATAATTTTCAGGCAAAAGGCAAACCATAGTTAAGCTTTTTGGCAGGGTTTGTACATAACACAAAACCTTGATTTAATAAACCATTGTTTCATAAACCATGGTGTAGTAGTATGTGTAAACCTGGGCATGAGATAGGGAGTGCTCCATTAGCACTCTCATCCTCCCTCATCCTCTTTATCATACAAATTACTATCTCCCTTCCATTTTCAATGTTTACCTGTGATGTAAATATGCTCAGAGTTTGTTATTCAGTCCAACATTTTCAGAGATGGTCAGATTAAGCAGCACACTGCTTTACGCATAAAACCTGGCCATAGTTTATTAAACTGAACCCAGTGACCTTCCTTAACCATGGCTTGTTTGGAAACTCCAGTCCAGACATTCACTAAACTACAAGGGCATGAGGCAAGAACACCTGGAAAACAAAGAAAACTTTGGAGAAACAAGCGTTGTGGAACAACTTGTGGTTAATTTGTGGTTTGTAAAACAAACCATGGCTTTGCATCACGTGTGAGCTGGCTATTCACCGACAACCCAAAAGAAACACACAAATAGGAGTGGACTTTTTGTAAAACTCCTGAAAACCTTATTTTTTCCCCCATATGAAACTGAATTCAAACATTTCTGCTCTGCCTCAGCTGACACTTAGGATGACAGGCACACAAGCTGGACAGGTTGCAAAATCAAAATGATAGTTCTATATTAGATAGTTACTTAATAGTTTTCAGATAAAGAGAGAGAAACACCCTGTAATGCAGAAGTTGAGAAGAAAGGTTAACACTCCATTTTCTTACAAATGTTCAGAATTCAATTATCTAGGAACAGAATTGTGTTGAAAACCTGTATATGAATCTCAACACCAGCACTCTCCAAACAAGTAAAATGCTTTAAGCTCTCAAGCCGGGAAAGGCACTTTTCTTCTTTTTTAAGCTTCTCCAATTCCTCTCCATCAAAGCCTAGGAAATACTTTGCTCCCTTTCCTCAACATCATTGCCGAGCTGAGCTGCCAGCTGAGGTCCGGTGCTTTTGATTAAGCACCAAGGCATCCGGATCTGGCTGGCAGCAGCCATATTTGCCAGCTACCAATTTCCACTCATCGAGACCCAGCAAATGGACTATTTGGACGCTCTCTTGTGTACACTGTCTCTCTCTCTCTCTCTCTCTCTCTCTCTCTCTCTCTCTCTCACACACACACACACACACACGGAAGCAGAAAAGCTAATTGAACAATAAATTATAGGCTACAGCACCGATGGGCAGAAAGTAGATTGTGATATCTCCTGGTAGATCTCTATGTGATTTGAAGCAGCAGTGAAATGATAGATACTCACACCAAATCATAACAGAAATGAAGAAAACTTGGTGTGGTAGTAATCAGAGGGTTTTTTAATGCAAGGGCCATCAGCTCAGTTCAATTCTGATGTGAAAACCAAGTCCTCGGGTAAGAATTACGCCCTTTGCAGCTTGGGCATTGGTTGGTGGATCTTGGGATTTTAGTAAATGCAAAGTAGATACCACGAGCCTTAAGACCATCCACCCTGAAAATAAAAAGCAAAAATGGAAGGGATACAGATCGGCTAAGCAAAGAAGCACAATGGAAATCAGGGGTGTGCAACATGTAAGCTAATCGAATGAGCCTGGAAGCGGCTTGGTCTGCGAGTGGCTCAGATGATGGAGCTGGGTCAGATTCTGAAGCTTTAGGGAACAATGTGGAATTTTACTGGACCTTTGAATTACCTGGACCATGCTGAGCTGATAACCTAAATTCCTGCCATCTGAAGTGGTATTATTTACTTATAACTTTTTCAAGCCCCCCTCACAAAATTCTCTCGGTGGCTTACGATTCCCAAGCCAAAAGCGAAAAGCAATTACAGTAACAAAACGAGGCATCCTTTACGTGAACCACCCTGAGACATTTGGGTATAGGGTAGTATAGAAATATAACAACAACAACAACTGTAAAAATAAACAGCTGCCTTAATACAGTGGTACCTCGGGTTACAGACGCTTCAGGTTACAGACTCCGCTAACCCAGAAATAGTACCTCGGGTTAAGAAATTTGCTTCAGGATGAGAACAGACATTGCGTGGCGGGAGGCCCCATTAGCTAAACTGTTAAGAACAGTTTCAGGTTAAGAACGGACCTCTGGAACAGTTTCAGGTTAAGAATGGGCCTCCGGAATGAATTAAGTGTGTACAATGAAGGACGAAAATTCACCTTGCATCCCGCCAAAATTAAAACACAACTTTGAATACAAAGAGGCTCAGAATGTGCAATATATTTTAAAGGCTTGGGCAAACAGAAAGGTCCTTATCTGGCACAGAAGGTGTTAGCCAGTGGCAATGCAGACAGACTAGCAGATCTCCCTACCCTCAGCAAATTAAGTGCCCTGTCACATTCTGGGGGCATACAAGCAAACTTCCTCATGTGCTGTCTCCCTTATGGCAGATCCGGGCTTCCCCTTTCTGCCTCTTTTCTTCAATCCTGCTTTGGAGAGGGGCTGTAGCTCAGTGGTAGAGCATTGCATTTGCAGGTAAAAGGACCCAGGTTTGATCCTCTCCAGGTACGGTTGGGGGAGACCCCAGTCGGAAAACCCTCGAGAGCTCCTGTCAGTCAGTATAGACAATACTGACCTAGACAGACCAGCAGGTCTGCCAAAGGCAGCTTCCAATGCCAACCATCCACATATCCCGAGGGAAGATGCACACACACACACCCTTAGAGAACCATAGCTAAGGATAATTTACAAACTATTATTTCAGCCACAAAACATAACCACTGGGAAAAAGGAGCACTGGAACTCTAAACAATAATAGCAGGGTTGGGGGGGGGAGAGGCAGAGCAAACCATTCATTTTGCATGGCTCGGATCTCCGATGGAATTGTCTCTCTTCTTGTTGGCAATGATTTTTATTTTTTACTTTTTTCCCTCTCTCCCTCCCTCCCTTTTTGGGTTTCTGCTTTGGTAGGGAGAGGAACGGAAACATCCCGGTTTTAAAGCTGTCAAGTCTGAGGTTCTATTTATCTGAGAAAGGCCATAATGGCTCCCAAATGATCCAGCTAGTCGAGCTATTATCTCAACTAAATTGCACAATTCAGAAAGGGGGGGGGGGGAGAGAGCAGAATACATATAGTTACCATAGCAAAAAAGAAAAGCCAAGCCAAAACATTACGATCAAACAATGTTAAAAATTCTAATTCAAACCTCCCTACGTACGCACACACAGGATATGGGGTGGGTGGGAGGGAGGGAGGGAGGGCTTGATAGGTTGTTCCAGACCAATCCCCATTAAAAGAAACAAACACTTCCACCGTTAAACCATTCGAAAGATCCATATCTCCACTTCCTCCCTCATACTGAACAATGCAAGCGGCCCCAGTGGCTTGCTTGCCCTATCAGGCTGTTACAGTGCCATGCTGACAACCCCAAAACCACCATATCTGTCTAAACTCTACTAGGACCAATTTAAGGTAACGGGGGTTGCCAAAGTGGTGCCCACATGAGGCCTTCCCTGGTGCTTGCAGGATCCCCTCCTTCTGACTCTCTCCTGTTGAAAGGCTTGGGCAAAACACATTCTGTTGGTGCCAACAGACTGTGTGTATGTGTGTGGTGCCCCTTAAGAGGTTACCTAAAATGACACTAAATCAGTGTTTGCAATGGATTCACTCAGATGAATTACTTGATTGAAAGTAGTTCCCATAATACCCGGGTGAACTAAAGATGTATTAAGTTCATTTGGGAGTGCAGCTTTTGAATGATTTCTAGTTCGTCTTCATTCTCTCCCCACCAATAGCAGGAGGCCCAGACGCTTGCCTTTCTTTTCTTTCTTTATTAAAGGAAGTCATTCAGACATCTTTTTTTAAAAAAAAAAAAGTTAGAAAGCAAACTGTGGAGTCAACACACTAAGTCTTATTAGGCAGATACAGAGGCGCTGCTATTGCCAAGAGAGGAGAACGCTTCCTGCATAAGCATTGCTCTCACTCTGAATTCAGACTTTGCATTGCATAGTTTCTCATGCAATTTTCTCTTTTACACAACCCTAAAAAGGTGCAAGAGACCTGTGTGATTTTTGCATGTAGACACCTAACCATGACTAGGGTTGTTGTTGTCATTGCTTTTAACTGAATTGTCTGGAGCTGGAGATGCTTTTTTCTTTTTTGTTGATGTTTTATATTAATAATCACTTCATAATGTTTCGTGGGAAGCAATTCATAAATAAAATGAATGAATAAATAAGACACCTAAGCTGGATGTCATCAAGCAGGTGTGAAAAAGTACACTTTTGGAGGTCTTTCAGGAAAAAAAATATTCAAGCCCTAAGAAGGCCCCTTTTCTATAAAACAAGTGTTTGCAGGAGAATATTCAACAGACCCCTAGCTAAGACTATAAACGTGCATTCAAACCATAGCTTAGCTTTCTGAGCGAAGGGGCACCAGCAAGACTGGGTTCTCACCTTACCAACAGAGAGGTTGGATAGGTAAGACCAGTACCTTCACTGCGGTTTGCTCCATTTAAATTTAACGTGCATAGTGCAATCCTACAGCTGTCTATTCAAAAGTAAGTTCAGTAGGGTGTGCTTGCAAGTAGGTGGGCACAGGATCTCAGGATTTTGACCATTAAAGCCTTCAACAACTCAAGACCACGATACCAATACCACTAATGATGATGATGATGATAGTAATAATACTAGTTTGGGTCTTCAAACAACACCAAAAACAACAACAGTCATGGTTAAAGTGAGAGGTCTGCAAACAGACAACAGTTGCCTGTTTTTCCCTTTCATGCTGAAACCCTAGACATATTTATCCAAAAGCTAGCTCCTTATAAATCGTACTTTGGAGTAAAACTTGGTTAGCAGTGAACTGCAAGGAACCAGATGCATGCGTCTTCAAACCCTGAAATGAATTGCCCATTAAACAAGCCTCTCAGTTTTCTGGGACAAAATGCAAGTTATTGCAGCAAAGAACTGGCAATTTGTTCTGTAAAAAGCAATTACACAAACCCAACCATCTAAGCAGCAGTGTCGTTTCTTTTTAATCAACACATTAGATTTTACAGCTAAATGGCTAGAGAAATTATTTTCCATGCCATGACTTTTCTAAAAGACAAAGAATGAGAAGTTTGGTTACAAGAAGGAATGGGGGGGGGGGGAATAGTGAAAAATGAACACGGTTGATATTTCAGTTATCTAAAACCTCTTTTTTTTTCCCCAATGAGTCCATTTAGCACAGGTTTAAAATAATTTTAAAAGGTAAAAGAAAAGAAAAAAAATGATTTTGTTTGGATGTAGTTGAGCAGGAAATGGCTGAGGTGGGTTAAATACCTTTCTTGTACATGCCTTACAAAGAATTTCCTCTACTTACTAAAATAATATTTGTTTTCGTGTCAATCTTGGTGTTTCACAGCCCCAAAGCTGGTACGCTGGTATTGCCTTCTGTATCTCTGACCATAAACAGACATGCAATGCCTCCAAGGACACATAAAACTGATATTTATGGCTGTTTTATTGCCGATTTTATGTGCATGTTTACACAATGTTTATACCTGTATTTGTTTATTCATTAGCTTCATATTAAGATTGCAAATGTGGCTGTACAAAGCTGTTACACTGGGGTCTTTCACCAGCTTGGTACCTGCCCTAGCAATGTCCCCGTTTGTACAGAGATCCATACCTCAGATACACACCACCATGTGACCATACCCACACAAACAGATGTTTCACTTTAATCACCCCTTAACAAACTTGAAATCTTGCAGTTTTCACTGCACAAACAAGCAGTTTTAATTAGTTTTATTGAGGCCGTCTGCCTGGAACAAACCTCTTGCTTGAGCACACAGGAAAACCTTATCCCCATGCCACCAAATACCCAATAAATCAGAAGGTAGATCAGGGATGAAGAATCTACAGGGGCAGCACATCCCATTTTGCTGCCTGAGGCAAAACAGGAAGTGCCGCCCCACCCTGTTGCTGTGCCACTGCCAATCACGCCGCCTACGTTGCTGTCAGAGAAGTGCTTCCGGCAAGATCTTGATGATTCCCGGAGAGATCAAATCTTGTGAGATCATGGCGGAAACTGGCACTGAGGCCAGTCGTGGAGGCAGAAGGGAAGACGGGGCATTGCTTTGGGGTTTCCACCACCTGAGGTGTGGCTTCACTCTGCCTCATGGGTGGGCCAGGCCTGGAAATCTGGTGCCCTTCAGATGTCACTGGACTACAACTCAGATCACTGACCATGATGGCTTGGGCTGATGGGAGCCAGCATCCAACAACATTTGGAGGTCCGCAAGTTCCCCACTTGTGGTCCAACTGTGGACAACTGACCACTTTCTGATGGACTGTGGGACTCTGGCAAAAGAAAACTAGACTAGCTGTACCTTGGTCTGATCCAGCAGGACAGTGCTTATGTTCTTAACCAAAAAAACATACTTAAGATAGGCTAAGTCTTACATGTCTTGAATACCAAAGTTGCATGTTTTAAACCCTGGTGTTTCTAGGTAGGACTGGATCCTGGGAGACCTTCAAGAGCTGTTTCCCAGCAATACTGAGTTGAAGAAATGCTGTTACTCATTACAATAGCAACTTCCTAGGATCATGAATCACAGATTACTTATGCCCAAGCCATTTAGAAATCCTGTCTGCTAGTTGTCTATGGACTAACTTCCATCATCCTTGATCGCTGCTCATGCTAGCTGGGGCTGATCGAAGTCCAACCTCTGGAGGAGCACAAAGTTGGGTGCCACTACTTTATACAGAGGCCCCACATCTATCACAGGACCCTGGCACACTGTAGTGCGGAGATGGGGAACATCTACAGCCCTCCAGATGCTGTTAAGACTCCAGCTCCCATCAGACCCAGCTGGCATGGCCAACAGTCAAGGGTGATGGAAGCAGGAGCTCAGCAGCCCCTGGAGGGCAGCAGGTTCCCCATCTGATAGTCAATGTGGTGTCTTCCAGATATTGTGGACTTTAGCTCTAGCCAGTCTGGGCAAAGATCAGGAATTATGGGAGTTGTAGTCCATGAAATCCAGAGGACACCACGTTTGAGACAAAATCTCCGGGTTGTCCACAGTGCAGTTTCAAAGCCACTGCAAGAGGCAATGAAGAAAAGCCCAAATGCAGATGGTGAAAAGAAATTCAGATTTTTGAGCTCCCTCAAGCTTCCCTTCAGGAATCCGGTGCCTTAATGCTAAATCTACTTGAATTTGCTTATAAAATTTGCCAGAGAAAGAAAGAAAACAGGGGGACATTGCATCTATATTCTCTTCAAACTTTGGAAAGACAAGTACACGCAAATACAGAAGTGGCAGCCAACACTTGGTGGAATTTGCTTTTTGTTCTTAATTCTGGCAGCAGCAACAGCGCTGTAGTGTTTTCCAAAGAACAGCAAAAACTCATCCAATTGCAAGGTATCTGGAGGGCTCAACCCACTCCTGGGCAGAATCAAAGCCACAAAATGCCCCTGGGGCTCAGATTATCTCCCAGAGTTGATTTATTGATAGCTGAACACATACCCGACAGCTTCTTAGCCACCACCTAAACACAATCCATTAATCAAGGTTGGTATGACAAATATTTAGGGGGAGAGAGAAGGGGAGTCTGGGAATATTGTTTCTTAACAAACTGGTCATACAGAGGAACAGCTCCAATCTGCCCTGAGAAGCTTTATCAAAAAGACAAGCTCATTCTAGCTAGCCCATTTTGACTTTCTGTCCTATTTTCCAAAGTGCTTGCACCCTCTTCCCCATTTTGTGTCATCTGCAAATTTGGCAAATGATATCCGCGAGTCCTTGATCCAAATGGTTCATTAAAAAACAAAGGTGTGTGACATCAGGTCCAGAATAAGACTCTACTCAGCACATCACTGTTATCCCATTAGGATAGCTTTGGGTACCAGACAAGGCTGGAAACAGGCAAGAGAGTCAGTGTAGTCGTTGGAGTGCTGGACTAGGACCTGGAAAAATGTGGGTTTAAAACCACACTGAGCCATGAAGTTCACTGGGAGACCTTGGGCCAATCACAGTCTCTAAGCCAAACCTACCTCACAGGGTTGTTGTGATCATAACAATGGGGAAGACACAAAGCATGTATGTCACCTTGAGTTTTGGGGGAAGAGGTGGGATAGAAATGCAATAACAAAACAAACAGGTTTGGGGGTGGGAGGATCTGCTGTCATCCACCACTCCCAGTATGCTTAGCAGCATGGGTGGGCAACAACAGTGTTGCAATCCGCACTGGGCAGCTGAGAACCCCACATTATTTTTATTTCCCCACAGTGCTGCATTACCCTGAGGCATTGTGGGGAATTTAAAATGGCGGACAGGTTGCAGTTGCCTCCCAAAAGCACAGCCCTACAGGTGGGCCCAATCCTGCCAGCAGCACCACAAACACTTGGCAACCGCCTAAACCAGGGGTCTGCAACCTTTAAGACAAAAAGAGCCACTTGGACCCGTTTCCGAAGAAAAAAAAACTGGGAGCCGCAAAACTAGTCATTATAAAAATAACTTTTTTGTCACTTTTTTATTATTTCTTTGTTTGACCCCTCAGAATTACTCCTCCTCATAGAAATAAACGTTAAATTAACAAGTTACCTTTTTGTGTGTGTGTTCTTCACTCCCCTTCAAAACAGTGACCAGCGTACATGCCCCCTTTCAATGCAGTGACCAGCGTACATGCCCCTTACAATGTAGCAGGCGGGCGGGAAGGTGACGTCGGGACGGTGAGTGACTAACGCACGCACCGCCCCCCCATGTGACGTCACAGCCAGTACAGCGCCTGCCACAGTGGGGAGTGTCGGGGCGCACAATGGGCCTCCTCCCCTCTCTAGTATCCGCCCCGGAGCCACGGCAAAGGTGTAAAAGAGCCACATGCGGCTCCGGAGCCGCGGGTTGCCGACCCCTGGCCTAAGGAAACCAGGTTCCAACAAAACAATGCCAATTTTCATCATTTTGAGCACATCTACAATTTGGCTTCATTTCTCTTCCATCTCCCTCGCCACCTAATACACAGAATCGGATTCAGAGACTTACAGTTGTTAAGTAAATGGGACCCAAGTGCACCCTAAAAATTAATTCCTCACTTACAAATGTCATTCACACCAATAAACTGCCACTCTCCCCTTTGAAAACAAACAGGGAGGGAATTAACCCTCCTGTGGCTTCCATTCAGATGAATTTTAAAGAGAATAGCAGTCAGTCAAACACAAGTGCATTGTTCATGATGAAGTGTGTATTTAGGTTATAGGTGACACCGACGGAATTGTTAAAACCATTTGTTTTTCTTTAAATAAGAGAAAAAATGCAATTGTGTGTTTATTATATATGATAAAAAAATTAAAATTTAATAAAATATGATTGGAAAAACAACAACAACCCATCCCTCTTCACGGGGGAGAAATGACTCCCAAACAGAGCCCATTCCTGCAGAATTTTCATTCGGCAGTTAGATTCAGTGTCAAACCCAATCCCACAAAGACCAACTCCCCAATGTGGCTGATGCAAGCACAGAAACTTTCCCCTCCTCCTTTACAGATCAGCTTGAATTCGAGCCAGTCTGGCAAAAGGAAAACACTTCGCCTGATGCCATGCCCGTTCCTCCGGTCAAAGACGCCCATCAAGATCTGGTCCACTGTCTGGATCCAATTCGCCAACCCTGGGTTTGAGGGCTGGGACTACGATTGGGGGATATCCCCCAATTCAAATATCCACCCGGCCACACAGCTTACTGGGCGACCTTGAGTCAGTCATTACCTGTCAGCCTAAAACTACCTCACAGGGTTTCTGCGAGGACAAAATGAGGCGAGGGGAAAGCTCAGGCGCCATTTTGAACTCCTTGGAGGAATGCTGGGATATAAATGAAGAAAGAAAGCAAATGAATAAACACAGTGGTGTCAGGGAATGTCATTCCCTTTTAGTTTCTCCCCACTTTGCGGAATATAAAAGGCAAAAATAAAATAAAATAAATGAGCCTCTCTGAGGAAAATGTCTGGCAACGGAAGGTAGCATATTTTAATTTTAATAGGTTTTTTATTAGGCTGCCATGTTTATACATTCAGGTATTTTTGTTGTTTTTTTACTGATTAAAATAGGTCCCCTGAGTAATCAGACAGAAGTAGTGTTGTTTTTGAAGCTATTAATTATTATTTTAACAAAAGTAATGCCAGGCCCCGCAGCTGGCAATGCCATCTTAGAATTCCTATTTGATTCTCACACAGCAAGGCACCCCGTCCTAAGATGGCACCACTGTGTCATCTAAAGCAATCTAAACTGGTCTTCAACTGGTGGGTTCTGACTAGATTGTCGCAGCCTGATCCGATTTGATTCATATGCAAATTCATGCAGGTTTAAAACAGACTTACTCAACTGGGATGCCATTAAATCTGGCAATAGACTTGGTTTTTATTGTGTTTCTGCTTATTCTACAGAGTCAGAATAGGATGGCCTAAGCATCTAAACAGACACATGAACTGCAGCACACCTACTCTTAATTCAATCAGTAGGTTCAGGGAAGCAGCATATTACAGTTAAAAACGGTCACACCAGATAAACATTACTCATTATGGGGCTAGACCTGTGAGCTGCTCATTTTCCACTGGTGTGCATGAGGCTGTGTCGCACATCTGGATATTTACACAGCAGCAGCAGCAATTTGAGAATTTCATTTAGGAAAAATAAATCCCATTCATTTCAGTAACTAAACGCCCCCTTGGAAGACAGGAGGAAATGTGGGGAATGTGGCACGCGAGCTCATTAATAAAAGAAATGGTTTATTCACCCGAAGCTCTTGGCAAACCAGTAATAAGGGCTGTATTTAAGAGGTTTAATTACCTGTGTTTTAAGTCGGTCCCAAAAATGCACTGAAAATCAGATGCCGAATAGAAACAGCGCACCCCAGAGCTTCACCATTACAACTAAATGACATCATTAATTTGGAATAAAACTGAAATAACTACATTTGCAATGCTTTGATGGCAACATGCTCATTTTTCTAAGGCTGCAATCCTAGGCGCGGTTGCTGGAGAGTACATCCTATCAAACTCACCAGGGCTTAAATCTCACGAAATATAAAGCCTGCCTTTAAGATCAGCTCAGGACTGGGATACGGCCGGGGTGATCCTGAACATTGTATAGCTTTACATTCATAATATGCAGCAATGACCCTGAAAACAAGCCCATGAATTTTTACACATACTTATGTAATGTGATTAAATGTACATCCTTGGCCCAAGAAATGGGGGGGGGGGTTTAAAAAATTAATCTTAATTAGCCAGATTATTTGCTGAGAACCCAAGATTCTTACTCATCATAGAAGACCAGCCAAGGGGGTATTTGCAATCCAAAGCTCTCCAAAGAAGATCATATCCAGATGGGGCATTCTTTATGTTCCAGGGCATCGACGGAAGGTACTCATCCGCTACGATGTCACTAACACTAAGCAGGTCTGGGTCTGGTCAGTGCCTGGATCCTTCAAAATCTTCCAGAGAAAGCGACTCTTGCCCTGAGTCTCTCTCCATATGCAAACGGGTAGTAAGCCTAAATCATACACAAGCAGATCCCATGGGCAACCATCACAGCACGCTACAGAAGTCTGGCAAACTTAACATTTTAAAGCATGCTTCCCAGCCCCCTAAACACACATTCTTCAACATAAAGACACCACAAATCTGTAATTTAAAAGTCTGTCGTGCAATCCTTGTTCTCGATACTGTAATTTTCAGCAACCCTCAAATAATACCGTTTTGCAAGGGGAAGTTGACATCTGTAGAGGAAAATAAGGGAGGGATCCAGGGCTCCAACTGCATCACAGAACTGCCTTCGGGGACCACCAGTCCTGTCCGTGTCTCGATAGCATCCACAACTTTCCTGCATCCCACTTACAAGTGATGTAAGCTGCCTCTTTGGAAAGCGCAAACATACATAGGGATGCAAGAGAAATTCGGTTCAGCTCACGTGTAAAGGCAAAACTACCTTTTTTGAACTTTTGAAAACAATAAAATGGTCAACCTTCAAAATTTGTACTTCTCTGAATTTTGTGATGGAATTCTCCAACCAAGCAACACATACAATAAAGGGTGAACCCAAATGTATATATTAGAAAAAAATAACATGCAAATAGGCATTATAGTATGGGAAACTGCTTTGCAGAAAATTGTGTACATTGGGCAGAACTGCACACATATAGTAAAAGAAATTCACACTACAATGCTGGTGAATTTTCATGAATCAGTTTTTAAAAAATTAAAACTGATGTGGAAATGTGGAGAACTGAACTCAGGACTGGGAAAATGAGAAACTGAAAGGAAGGAAGGAAGGAAGGAAGGAAGGAAGGAAGGAAGGGAACCAAAATGGAGAGATTCGCCCATTCGTAGCACATACAAAGCAGAATGCAGTAGTTCAGGTCCTGAAGGGGTAGAATGGACAGTACTCTTGCTGTATATGGGGATACTGATTTTGCAGCCTACCAAATGTTAAAATAAACACACCCTAAAATTATTATTATTTAAATCAAGGACACCTTTTCCTGGGTAGTGGTTGCTACCTGCCAAAAAAAATCCTTCTCTTGTGCAAAGTTTTATGTACAGGATCCTGTATGCCAGAGGCATAGAACCTGCATCCCAAGGGTATATTGCCTTCATCCTAATTTCATGGGGTCTGGAGAAGGGGTCAGCAAACTTTTTCAGCAGGGGGGCAGTCCACTGTCCCTCAAACCTTGTGGGGGGCCACACTATATTTTGAAAAAATAATAATGAACGAATCCCTATGCCCCACAAATAATCCAGAGATGCATTTTAAATAACAGGACACATTCTACTCATGTAAAAACAAGCTGATTCCCGGACCGTTCACAGGCCGGATTTAGAAGGTGATTGGGCTGGATCCAGCCCCCGGGCCTTAGTTTGCCTACCCATGGTTTGGAGGAAGCTGTATATAGAGAAACAGGGAAACAGGGGGACATTTCCATCAGGCTCCTTCTTCAGCTCTAATGTACCTCAACCACTCCATCAGGCTACTGGAGAAGAAGAGACGGAACTGCAGCGCTCCGCTGAGACACCAACAACCTTTGGCTCCTCCTCTGCACATTGTTCCCTTCCAGCTGATCGTTACAGAAACCTTGTAACTAAGAACTAGTCCCTGAGCTTGCTTTTTCCTCCTGCCTCCCCAACCTTTTTATCCCTTTCCTTATTATGTCATTTACATAGGCTTAGAATCAAATCACTGATATTTGTAAGCTGCTCAGGAAGCATTTTTCGGCTGAAGCATGGGCGAAATTCTTTTAAAATTTATTTCTGTCTTGGTTCTTACACGTACCAATTAAAGCACAGGGCAAGCTAGCGATTAAAAATATCACAATCGCAATAATAAAAGTTTTAACAAACCCCAATAAAACTACAATATATCACATATAAAAATAAAAACACAACAAACCACAGTGACATAGCACAGTTAGCAAAATTATAATGAATTACATCTCAAGGGCCTGGATAAAGAGGAGATATCACAAGTGACATGGCCAGTGTGGTGGTCATTTGGGAAGGGTGAATAAAGCACGGGTGTTAGAAAGAGGAGGGGAGGAGGAGATGGGGCTGCCCCACCCACATTTGTCTCTGACTCCGCCCACTGCCAGCTTGCAGTCTGTGGTAGGTCACCTTAAGAGAAAGTGATCTCTCTCACACAGAGAGACACAAAAGAATTCTCTATCTTCGCTAATACTAGTTGCAAACCCTTTCTCAAAGTGGGGTTCCTTAGGGCAGTATCAACAAGCTTTCCTTTTCCATAAAATAACATATTCCATGAAATAACATAAAATAACATGTTATGTTTTCCATAACATATTTCCTTTTCCATAAAAAGCAGTGGGGAACAGGGACACTCACTCCACACCGCAAAATTGTGTTGCAGGTCTCACTTGCCCTTCTCCTTTTGCATTTGGTCACCCTAACCACATACAGTGGACGCTTGGGTTGGGAAAGTGATCCGTGCAGGATGCACGTTCACAACTCGCAGTGTTCACAACCTGTGTGCCTGCGCACAACCGGGTTGCGATTCGGCGCTTCTGCATATGCGCAAAGTGTGATTTAGCGCTTCTGCGCATGCGCGGCCGCTGAAACCCAGAAGTAACCCGTTCTGGTACTTCCTGTTTTCGGTGGTCCGCAACCCGAAAAAACGCAACCTTAAGTGTCTGTAACCCGAGGTATGACTGTACAAAAGTCCTAAATATACTAATGATGAAGCGCCACAATCAACCAGGTTCTAAAGGACAATTATATTCTAATCAGTTTATATTTAATTAGTTCTTCCTCGTTGAGGCAGCAGGGGAGAGAGAAGGTAATGTTCAGACATGCATGGGGGAAGTTTGACCTTTTCCACTGCAGTTTTGAGTGAACAAAAATCAATACGGCCCCAGCAGATCTCTGCAAAAACCTTTTCAAGAAATTTATTTTGAACGCCTTTCGGAAAGCGGCAGGGCGGGTGCAAACGCTAAGAGAACCCTACTGGCTCGCCTTTGTTAGCTGTGACTGAAGCTTTCCCTCGGAAATTAAAACAGTTTGTCGGCAGGGGGGTAGGAATACTCATCAACTTACTGCCAGTGGTTGAGGAGAAAATACCTTCGGAGAATAATCTGAAAAATAATTTTGTTACTTGTTTTCATACACGCGCACCACAGAGAAAGAGAGAGAGAGACACCCCAAACATGGTCATGAACAGAACGGGGCTTTATGTAAACAAGGTATTTTAGTTTGGAACATTTTGTCGCAGAAATGGCAGGGGGGCTCCAAGAGGACCCATCTCGAAACTATTTCCGACTCAGTCAAAAGGTTTACGTTTTCACAGGCTTTGCATTCGCCCTGGAAAAAAAAGAATTATGCTGGTTGAAAGACACAAAGCCAACCAGGTGGCGTGTGAAATTTTGGTCCTGCAAAAATTCCGGCCGGCCTTTCCCTCTGAACACGCGAACCCAGGATCCTCCAGATGTTGCCAGACCACAACTCCCATCAACCCCCGGGCACTGCCCATGATGGCTGAGACTGATGGGAGTTGGAGTCCAAAATACTGGGGGCGGGGCACCAGGTTGGCAAGTGGTACCTTAGCAAGACATCATACTGTAGCAATGAAAGCAGCTGCGCACTAAGAAAGACTATGGTTTGTCACATATGCCTACCAGCCCTTGTGCTGACACTTTACAACCATATATTAATGTGGGAAGGGACATGGGTGGCGCTGTGGGTTAAACCACAGAGCCTAGGACTTGCCAATCAGAAGGTCGGCGGTTCAAATCCCCGCGACGGGGTGAGCTCCCATTGCTCGGTCCCTGCTCCTGCCCACCTAGCAGTTCAAAAGCACATCAAAGTGCAAGTAGATAAATAGGTACCACTCTGGCGGGAAGGTAAACGGTGTTTCTGTGCGCTGCTCTGGATCGCCAGAAGCGACTTAGTCATGCTGGCCACATGACCCGGAAGCTGTACGTCGGCTCCCTTGGCCAATAAAGCGAGATGAGAGCCGCAACCCCAGAGTCGGCCATGACTGGACTGGTCAGGGGTCCCTTTACCTTTACCTTATTAATGTGGGAAACAGGCAGGGGAGAATAATGGTGGGCAGGAATATGAAGACCAGAAAATGGGAAAACCTGAGGCTTTGTAAATGGTGTTGCAATACAACTTACATCATCCCTGACCACTGGGGCTTATGGGGGCTGGAGACCACAGGGTCCTCATCCCCAGTTTCAATTTCTGTACTGTGTAGAACAGAGATAGCCAACGTCCTCTCTAGATGTTGTTGGACTCCAACTCCCATCAGCCCCCACCAACAAGGCCAATTGTGTAAAGGATGATGGGAACTGTAGTCCAACAGCATATAGATGCCACTAAGCTTTGGTTATCCCTGATGTAGCTGACCTTTATGTATCAACATGGAAAGCAATTTATTCAGACCTATCGGCTTGACATTAAGCGAGGATGGGAGGGATCCTGTTTTCACAGGCTGCGAAATGCGTATTGTTTCAGCCTCTGAATTTGCTCCCATATCACCATGTGTTCTCACTGAAATCGCTCTCGTGCCACATCTTCTGGATTCAACCCGTATTTGCAAAAACCAAGTTAAGTGCAGAGATACTGTACCACTACGGTTTACCCAATCACTTATCCAGTTCTTCCTGGATATTCTCTTCCTTGCTTTCAAACTCAGTTCAGCTAAGACTAAAAACAGCTTTAAAGGGTTATCAGCTCAGAGTAAGTGGTTGCGTAAAAGAAGCCCTGCAAGAGAATAATACCAGTTATTTCACCAGGGGGGAAAAAACACATCTTAAACTACAAAAGGGCAGTCAGCCAACTATTCAGGCTTCCAGCCAATTCATTAGTCTACTAAACATATATATTTACATACCATAAAACCTCAAAACAGGGTGGTGTGTTGTTGTTGTTGCTTTAGAATGGCAAAGAAGTGGGCCAGCCTTTCTAAGTGTGAGAACACTGTTGCAAACTTAACAAATGGAAGTCCTCCCCTTCATTAGAATATCGTCGACTAGAAGAAAAATGCCTTTCTCGTCAAAGTTAGGATCGAAGGACCAGCCCCAAAAACTACAAAAACAGCTTCAAAACACAAGCAAGCAAATGAAAGGCCCATCTGCATTATGCAAATTCCCAGAAACTTATCTACACTGATCTAAAGCAACCACAGCTAATGTTGCTTGCTTTTTCGTTCTTATTCATCAAAGGAACTCTATAGCAATTTCGCCATGAAAGGTAAAATATTAGGGTCCAGCACGTGAGGTTGCAAACAATCTTTACCTCTTTGCTCTGCAATCCTAATACACTTGCTTCCGGTTAAAGGGCTAAGGCCTCGGTCGTTACTGTTCCAAAACCAGATATATATATATACACAGAGAGAGAAAGGCCACCTAATATAGACACATATTCGTGAAAATGGCATATAAAAAAAGGACTTTATATACGTGAAGATGTAAATATCTGTATATTAACTGAAATGGTAAGATAAATTGGTACTATAATGCTGGTGGATTTTTATGACGACCCGTTCTTAAAAAAATCGCACACTGGCGTAGAAAGATAAAGTGGACCTGAAATTGGGAAATTGAGAAACAGAGAGAAACCCAAACTGACAGATCTCCCCATCCCTAATTGGCCAGCATGTCAAACTGGTTAACATCAGATAGAAAGACCCCATTTCTCAGAAACAAGCCATATATTTTATGTGGGGATTAAAAAATAATAATTCTTTTTTTTTTTTAGGAGACAATTAATGTCGGTTTCCAAATTTTTAATTTTGATTACCAGTAGGTATGGAGAACGGCTCATTTCAGCAGCACCCGAAATTTAAGGGAGAACTTCCCAGAAAGGAAAAATTTGTACAGCAGACAAATTCATGTAAGTGGCACAATTAACACCCTAAACATTGTGGGTCGCTCACGTCCACCACACACTCACAAACAAAATCAAAACACAGACTTCATCAGTGGGTCACTGTTCCAGATGTTTATCCAATTGACACAGCAACCCCCAGCACACACTGCATTTCTTTCAGCACAGCATCTTTATGTACGCGTGTGTGTATTTAAACACCATTTAAAAAGAGCTGAAAGCCTCTACTGTATTTTGACTTCTTTACCTCCAGTAAGGCTCTCCTTTTAAAAAAAAAAAAAAGACTTCATGTCACACTTTTAACAAACAGTTTTATTAATTGCCAAACTCCCCCACCCCCACCAACACCTCTCAAATTGTAAGGGCTTAAAAAAAATTTTTTTTAATTACATTTTAATCAATAAAGTGAGCAAAATCAGAAAAATGCCTTTGAAATCCATGTCTGCCTTTTCCAAGAATGGGGTAAATCGGTATTTTTTTAATAAAAAAAAACAATGAAAAAAGAGCCTTAAGAAATAAAAATTATAATTAAGCTTTTACTAAATTATATAAAATTATATTTATTTAAAACTATATTTGTTATGTTATACACACATACAAACACACACACATATGCAATGTTCAACAATTGTTACCTTAAGCTTCTGTGATTTGTAATGATGATAGATTTATTTTTTTCATGTAAATTGTTTTGAAATCACTTGTGGGGGGGGGAGCAGTATATAAGCATACTAAATAAAAACAGTGGCAAATATTGCCAAAATACACACACACAAAAAACAACCCACCATCAATCCAAGTTGTTAAAAACTGCAATGAAGCTTACAATTTTGATCTAATCCATACACTGCTACAGCATGAAGTATTTGTCCTGGGATACACCAAATGTCTATAATATAAGCTACTGTATCACTGCAATCCTATGTACTATATATACACACACCCCTTAGTACAACAAACAATGAGAATGAAGAAGGCAGATGAGAGGGATAAAGGAACAAACAGATAAGGAGGTATAAAATAGACACTCCTCAGAGAATCCTTTTTTATGACCCCTTAACCTCCCGAAATCCCACTGCTAGGGGGGCAATCAGATGCCAAGATCTGCCAAGGTGAACAGCCTAGGATGAAGTGGATCCCTCGTTCAGCTGGCATGAAGTCCTCAACCCCAGCTCAAATGAAGATACACCTGCAAATTTGCTTATCCCAGCTCAGCTGGGGCCCGGCCCATTGAAGATGGCTGAGCCGAGGCTGTTTAAGCCCCGCAAAAGGGGCATTCCAGGGCCAGGACTTAAGCTGGATTCTCCGCTGGCAACAATATTTTAAAGGCTTGTTTTCCCTCTGCCAGGCTTAGGCAAAGCAGCAGCAGCAGCAGTCCTGCTACTGAATGGGCTTTGGATCGGGTGCTGTGCATAGGATTGCTCCCCAAGCGTAATTCGCCCTGTTTACTCAGTCTCCCATTTCCCTCTCCTTCGCCTGTGTCAAATTTTTAAGACTGCGAGACACTTTGGGACAGGGACCTCTCATCTCATACTTTTGCAAAGCGCTGCGTTCACCGAGAGCATAAACGCAAAAAGAAACGAAGGTCGTTAGTTTGCACACTATACTGCCAGAAAATCCCTTTCAAATCTCTGATCAGGTGTTTACCTGGAAGCCTGGGGCCTAAATTTCAGCTTTACTTGGTGTGTGGTAGTGGGCATAAAAGGAAGCCAGATGGCAAAAGCTCAGTGATAGATTTCATGTTTTGTATTCATAATGTCAGGTTCAATTCCTACCTGATCCTTTTAACTGGCAATAGGAAATCCCTTTGCTGGAGACCCTAGAGTTGAAGTGGCATTTGTAGTTCAGATGTCGCTGTACTACAACTCCCATTATATCCGGCTACAGAGGTTGATGGAGTCCAACCCACAAATTTGCCCTAGAGAGCTGCTGTTAGTCAGAGTACAACAATACTGGGCTTGATGGACAAAACAAGGCTGGCCTGCCAGAAAGCAACTTGTGGTGAACTCATAATATGGAAACCAAACAATACATGCAACGATATCTGCCCACATTTCCCCATCACTAAGCCTATCTTCAAGCTTCCCTGCCACCTATTTGAAATTGCCAGATCCTTGGGAGCAACAGCCTGCCATGGTACTTCTGTTAAGATATCATGTATGGATGGCATAGTACCAATAATAGTCATTTGCACAATGCAGCTTTCAAGCCCAGCCATGGGAAATCAAACCTAAGATCAAATGCTGGGAATGTAGGAAGTTGTGTTATACCGACCCAGACCACTCAATACTGTTTGCACTGACTGCCAGTAGCTCTCTAACTGGAGACGCAGGAGACTGAAATCACCTGTGTGCAAAGCAGTTGTTCTACCACTGAACAGAAAAGAAAGATAATGCTATTCTAGGCTGCATCAACAGAAGTGCAGTCTCCAGGTTAAGGGAGGTAATAGGATTGCTCTATCCTGCCTTGGTCAGACCACACCTGTAATACTGTGTCCAGTTCTGGGCACCACAATTTAAGAAGGATATTGACAAGCTGGAACATTTGCAGAGGAGGGCAACCAAGATGATCAGAGGTCTGGAGACCAAGCCTTATGAGGAACAGTTGAGAGAGTTGGGAATGTTTGGCCTGGAAAAGAGGAGACTGAGAAAAGATAGGGTAAAGGTAAAGGTAAAGGGACCCCTGATCGTTGGGTCCAGTCGCAGACGACTCTGGGGTTGCGACGCTCATCTCGCTTTATTGGCCAAGGGAGCCGGCGTACAGCTTCCGGGTCATGTGGCCAGCATGACTATGCCACTTCTGGTGAAGCCAGAGCAGCACATGGAAACGTCATTTACCTTCCCACCAGAGCAGTACCTATTTATCTACTTGCACTTTTTGACGTGCTTTCAAACTGCTAGGTTGGCAGGAGCTGGGACTGAGCAACGGGAGCTCACCCCGTCGCAGGGATTTGAATTGCCGACCTTCTGATCAGCAAGCCCTAGGCTCTGTGGCCACCCGCAGCGCCACCGCGTCCCTGTATAGCCATCTTCAAATATCTAAAGGGAAGGATGGAGCAAGCTTGTTTTCTCCTGCCCCGGAGGCAACGGCTTGAACCAACGGCTTCAAGTTACAAGAAAAGAGATTCTGACTAAACATCAGGGATAACTTTCTGACAGTAAGAGCTGTTCAACAGTGGAACGGTCTCCCTCGGAAGGTGGTGGACTCTCCTTCCATGGAGGTTTTTAAGCAGAGGTTGGATGGCCATCTGTCATGGAGGCTTCAGCTGAGATTTCTGCATTGCAGGGGGGTGAACTCTTATGACCCCTTCAAACTCTACAATTCTATGAGTCTATTATGATGCTTCCACATATCACATCCCCATCCACAAATAAGCCCAAACACTGCATTTGCTTGCATTCCTCCTTGTTAGTTTTGGTTCTACCATTCCAATCCTCGCTCTCTTCTTTTCCCCTGTTGTCAAGCTTCAGATGAGACCTAGACAATTTGTGACAAGCCACGGGGACAGCAGCCCATCAGCCAGGTACTGTGACCTGCCAAATGTCCGGCAATGTCCTTCTCTGGTGATCCCAGGCAGGTAGCACAACCAGGAACCTCAGCAAACTCACAAAAAGGGCTGCATTCGATTTGAGGAGTCACAGCTACGATAGGCTTAGTTTCAATTGCAATTTCCTTCAGACAGGGACCCTTCCTTGTTTCTTCCTGTAATGCACCACAAACCTTGACGCTAAGAGTAAATATATAGGGGAGGCGGGGAGACAAAAACACTTCCAGCTGCAGGTGTAAATTTCAAAAGCAGAATTACCTCTGCCGAATCTACTTGTGTGGATGGCAAATCCAAAGCCCATGAGTGGTTAGTGGCAATAATTCATTACATCTTTGCTCTTCCTACTTTTTGGTTGAAACCTTTCGCAAAAACTTGCTGCAGATGAACAAAATTAGATGCTGAACAATGCAACCATCCCTTGTGCCTCGTTTTGCGACTACGGCCTCTGCTCCTCAAAATGCATGTACCGTGGCATACAGAAAATAATTCCAGCATCACTGTTCATCGTAAGGAAGGAATCACAGTCTTTTCAGATTTCAGATCTCCCGACCCTCCTCAAGTTAGAAAAGTACACTTAAAAGTCAACTTTTCGGCCCATTCAAAAACAATCATTTATCAAAATAACATTATAATCTATACTTAATTAGCGTGACAGTGTAGGTTTTCTTTATAGGGAATGTAGTCCTCATTTCAAGAGGGCAATGGAATTCAAATTAGAAGAAAATGCGGCCATCCTGCAGTAACACTGTTATTTCAATCACTTGTGCCTATTGTTTTTCTGACTATTCAGATTCAGACCCTGAACTTTTTGTATGTACTATGCAGTAAAATCCAGTTGTTTCACCATATCACAAGGTGGGGTTTTTTGTTTGTTTGTTTTTGTGGGGGTGTCATCTTTAAGACTGCATCTTTCTCTACCTCCTACGAACATTCACTTTCAAATAATAAATGTTCTTTTACAAAAATACACCAAGGCACACATTTTGCCATTGTACCCTCATCCTCTATATAGGGCTAACACCGACGGTGCTGATTCTCAATGCAAGATTTTCATATTTTAAAACCAATATTTACAAAACCGTGTGTGTGTGTATTTGTGGTGCCAGGGCGGGGGGGGGGGGGGAGGCACAATTTACAAATCTAAATCAATGAGTTTAAAGTATAATTTAAATACTGTACTACACTATGAATGCAGCATTTAGCAGAGGTCTGTTCATAACCCACAATTATCCATTTCTTCCCTTTGCAAATGACAAGTCTGTTTTGCGGTCAACAAGCCGAAAGGAACAAGTCGCTTTAGAATTCCTGAAGATGTAAGCGGCAGCGATTCGAGTTCTCTGTATCTGTATCGATCAGCAACCCTCAAAATGTCCTGCAAACTCATAAACTATAAGCCACTCAACAGCACTGCTGTTTGACACCTCTCATTTCATGCCTCTTGTATCCTTAACTCCATACATTATGAAATAAGGCGATCTCAGAAGCTGCTGTAAGCAAATGACAGCAGCCGGAATAGAGTTTAACAGACCACATTGAAGTGATTAAATACAAACATGTTTTCTCGAAAGTCACCGTTATCTAAAGTGCTACAGAAAGTAGTGGGAAGGTCCTGGCAGTCGCACATTAAAATTTCAAAACAAAATAAAGCTCGAATCACCTGCCATTCAATAATAGTCTCTTTCGACATAATTTATTTTTAAAAAATAATAATATGGGGTTTCACGCTTTAACATGCTTCACATAACACGGCAAAGCACAGGAATCCAGGTCAGTTTCCCAAGTTTTTCTTCATGTTGTTTTCACTTTGAAAGTGTGCTGAATATAAATTTTATTCCAGAATTTTTTTTAACAAATTGCACTTGTGGCAAATTAGACCTCAAAGATGTATAGCTGAGAAAATGTCCCGAGCAACCACAAAACCATGTAAATCTACCCAATCCAAGAGGAGTGAGCGGGGGGGGACCCTGCGATCCACACCAAATGGTTTGATGTCATTGCCTGGAAAATAACCACTTTTGCTTCCAAGGACACAAAAATATCCCTTTGGTTGACAATACTGCACTAAACTTTATCCGCACAGAGTTAACTAGCACCTGACACCAAGCACATTTCAATGAGGGGGGAAATCCCATGGGTTTAACTGATCTTACTTCCAAGTAAGTCGGTTTTGGATCTCAGGCTACCTAACGCCTCACCCCTTGATTCGGAAACAATTCCTAGGAAGTAAGTCTCATTAAAAATAACTGAGAATTGCTTCCACACTACATTATTAAGATTTGGGTGCAATACTGAAAGAGTTCGTGCCACGACGAAAGAAGACATCACCCCTGCAGAATCTACTGAAAAATATTATTCCATCTTGCCATCTGGGTGAACTAAACAACAAACCGCTTATACTTGGATTAAATAGGACTACCAAGACTGGTTCTCAGCATGCTAAGTGAAAGGCTCATGAACTGAGCTTGCTTGCAAGTACAGCTGTGATCCTATACACATTTACTTGAAGTTCAGTGTGGCTTACTTCCAAGAAAACATGTTGAGGCTCAAGCTACAAGTTCACTTAGGATCTGGACCTTGGTGTCTTCAAAATCCATGGGTAAGAACTTTAAATGCTCGAAAACAGAGTTAAATGTGAATACCTCAGCTCCACTGAGTTGTGTATCACACTGCAGGTCTTTTTAAAAAAAGCAATTCAGGCTAACTCAAATGCAATGTTATGTTTCCAGGGTGTTTATTTTCAACATTTCCCCTTGTTTCACAAAGAAACTCAGTTTCTACACAGATTTCCACAAGTTACGGAAAAGTTTCCAAAACATCTTAACCTTCCGATTCCCACAACGTTTTCTTTTTCTGCAGCCAAACTCAAATAAATAGAAGCTGCGCATCCACTGTAAAAAAAAATAAAATGAGGCGATACTGGACAGAATGTGAGCTGTCTCATCTGCAGAATCCAAAATGCAAGATTAAAAGGTAGGTGTGCAAAAGTGGCAGCTGCGCCATTATGGGCCTCAAAGTTAAAAGGATGCATTCAAACTATTCGGCACGAAACATGGCCCAAACATAACAGCACTGAACATCTGTTCTTTCTGTAATGAAGACATGCCTTAAAGGAACACTGGACATTAAAACAGCAACATCTCTAGGACTCCAATGTGCACAGAACTGTACAGATGAAGAACAGCAACTACACTTTTCTTTAAAAAGAAAAATCATACGAACATCTGTTTTCCCAGTTCCCAGCTGAGCAATTATTCTCTGCATCATCTTCGGAGAGAGATTTTAAATTATGCAATGCACATGGTCACCCACACAACAGAATATGGTCCTGTCCAAAACAAAAGCCAAAAAAATGCAAGAGGAGGAACGCGAAGGGCCAAACGGTTGTCGAAATGTCTGGTCCCTTCTGCGTCAGTGCCTTTTTAAATTACTATTCTGGGATGCCGAGAACCGTGGTTTCTGCTTTCAAGGGAGAACTGGGATGGCGAGTGCAAAAAAAGTTTGAACGCTGAAGTTTCATTCCCAAAGTTGCGCGCGTCCCTTGCCAAGAATAAAAAGCAGCAGTGGGCTTTTACAAAAGTCTCTTTTCTCTCTCACTCCTGCTCCCCATCCCGCCCACACACACCTCTCTCCATCCAAGAGCCCCTCTCCCATCTCCCCTTACCTGCTCTCGGGGGATGCAAGGCAAGGAGGTCCTGCGATGGGACTTATTGCCGCAGCCAGCCATCTCGGCGGAGATCATCGAACTGGATCTCCTCCTGCGCTTAAAAACCGGCACCTCTTCCTTGGCCGGCCGGGCAGCAGCAGCAGCAGCGCCACAGCCCGCTCCTTCCGCCCCTTCGGTGCCTTCCTCCTCCTCCTCCGCCTCCTCCTGTTTCCCGGCGGCGCGGCGGCGGCGCAAGGCGTGGCGCGCGTAGCCTGCGCCAAGGATGCCCAGCAAGGCGAGCAGATAAGCCAGGTAAGGTCTCCAAGGCGCGCGGATGCTCTCCAGGGAGGCGAGCGAGGCGATCCGCAGGGCGCTAGTCAAGGCGATCATGAGCACGCCGTGGCGGAGCCGCAGCGCCAGCCATGTCCCGCCGGCCAAGCAGCCCAGCACCACCCCAGTGGCGGCCAGCGAGAGCAGGCGCTCCTCCCCGGGGGCCAAGGCCAGCTGCGCGAGCGCTTCCCCAACGCAGCAGGCAGCCACGAGCAGCGCCGCCGTGCGCAAGCGGACCCCGGCGCGCAGCAAGGCCCAGCCCAGCCAGAAATAGGCGGCCAGGAGGAGGCAGCACAGCGCCGAGCCCGGGATCGGGGGCCAGCTCGCACCTGGGCCGGGCGCCCCGTCGCCCTCAGCGGCCTCTCCTCCTCCTCCTTCTTCCGCCTCTTCCTCGCCGGCGCTGCGCACCAAGCGGGTCCCGAGCGCCAAGAGCAGAGCCAGCGAGCCTGCGCCCAGAGCGCAGGAAAGTTTGCAGCACGTCCAGACCTTGGGAAGAGCCTCTTCTTCGCCACTCCTCCAGCCTCCTACCCGATGGGGATGATGGTCATTCTTCTCCTTGCTGCTGCTCTCCACTTCCTCCGGCCCAGCAGAGGAACAGCAGCCGTTGCAACCGGCGCCTAAGGCTCCCTCTGCCGCCGCTGCAGACGGAGAGTTTTTCTCCTCGCCCGAGCTCCAGCTGCCTTGGCTTCGGACCCTGCTCGCACAGTCGCTGCTCCCAGCCATAGCGAGAGGTCTTTTCCTTCTCTCCCTTCCCACTTTCTCTCCAGGTGGGGGAGGAAATGCAACTCCCAACCCCTTCCCACCCCACCTAATACTTTTATTTGCTAGTTTTCCACGCGCGCAAGTATAGCGATGCCCCCAAACAGCGCCCTTGCAAGGGGAGGGAATTACCAAAAAAAGTGTCCCGAAATATATTTTCCCCCTACTCCCCTAAAAAACAAAAGCCAAGCTGAAGTAGGTTTGAGGGGCTACGTGCAAAAGAAGCGAATGTTGTTGCTGTAAAAGTGGAAACAATGGTAATTCTGGAGGAGTTGGGCTCCAGAGGGTTGTAACGCGTATCAAAGGGTTTGGAAAATCCAGTCTCCTCCAGCCCAGGTTTTGTTCTGTTTTTTGAAAGAAGGCAACCCAAGACCCTAAGTATTACAGAAGGCTGGCCAGGCATGGGGCTTTCTATATCCGGGAGGGCTGCAGGCTGGTGCTCCTCTTAGGCCATGGGTGCTGCGGGGCGCCCTCGCCGCTCGGCCCGGGGAGGAGGCGCGCAGGGCGGGCGGGCCGGAGGCTGCTGCTGCTGCTGCTGGGAATTCCTTTCCTCTCCCGCCGCCTTTCTTCCCCGCGCCTCCGCCGCCGCCGCTTCCTTGGTGTTGCCGCTCCGCGCGCCTTTCTCACTCCGCCTTCCTGCTGGGGCGATCCTTGCCGGCGGGGTCCCGAGCAGAAGCCGCCGGTCGCCGCCGCCCCCCATGGCTGGGGACGAGGAGGAGGCGGCTGCCGCTCATCGCAGGAGCCGAAGGTGGGGGAACGGCAGCCGATGCAAAGCGGGAAAGTTTTGGAGGGCTGCGCAGGAGAGCAAGCCCCAGACGGGGGGTGGAGAAACCTCTTCCTCCTTCGCTTAGCGCGGTGCCTTTGCAAAACGAAAAGGTCCCGCTGAGATCGGCGAGCCGCGAAGAAGAAAGCTCGAGCGAGCAGACCTGGCGAGGATTTTCTAGCCTCTTTCTTCCTCCAAAGAGAGGGTCGGTGGGAGGAAGGGGGCTCGGAGAGGAAAGGCGTTAACCCCCGCCCCTCTTTTTCCCCCCCTCTCCTTTTCGTGCAAGCGTGCACCAGCTCCTGTTCGAGAGGGGAGGGAGCGAGAGGATCGGGCAGTGTTTGCTGCTAGTCTTTGCACTGCTCTGCAAACCGGGTGAGTGAGCAACTAAAGGAGAGAGAGACTCAGATAGCACATGGATTTCCCGTTGGTTGGCACCTCCACCACAGCCTCCAGGCAGCGAGCACCTCGTGGTGCTGCTGCTACAGGTCACAGTCAAATTACCTTGTCCTAAGCACTCCTACTCTTGGGAAGGAAGGCCTGGCATGTTCAGGTTGTACTAACCATGTGTGGGATCGGGGCTTATCATCACAGATCCACACACCTGGAGAGTATTTACACACTTTTTGGTGGGGGGTTGTTTCTGTGCAATTGTGCTTGGGCATTGCTTTCGGTGCCAACTGGCAGAGCTTTCTGCAAAGGATGCCCATTTATTTCGACAGGCGTCTGCACCTCCACACTCTGCACAAGACAGGCCTGCAAGGAAAAGGGGTGCAAATAACTGTGTGCAATGTTTGATTAGTAAGTTCCACAGGGCTCACTTGGCACAGGGTTGCAGCTGCAGCAGGGCATTTGCCTGCCTTCTTCCCAAGAATTAAGCCCGTAATCAGGCCCGCCTAGTCCAGCAACCTGTTCTTGCAGTAGCTGGTCTAGGTGCTTATGGGGAGTGCAAACAGCATCTGAGTGCAACAGGCCTCTCAGTTCCCAGCAATTCATACTCCACACGTCCTTCCACAATGGGGACATTGGTTTCCAGGTGGGAGTTGATCATGGTGTGGATTTGCCAAGCGTGCCTTCTTCCTCCTAGCACCTTTCTCCCTTGCGTCCTGAGTTCGAGTGTCTTCAAAGCCCATGACACCTTTAGTAAAGGCTGTTCTCCAATTGGAGGGCTCGCAGGCAAGTGTTTCCTAATTGTTGGTGTTTATACTACATTTTTTTAGATTTGCCTTGAGACAATCTTTAATCCTCTTTTGTTGACCACCAGCATTACGCTTTCCATTTTTAAGTTCGGAATAGAGTAGTTGCTTTGGAAGGTGATAATCAGGCAACCACACAACATGACCAGTCCAACGAAGTTGATGTTGAAGATGCATTGCTTTGACACTGGTGATATTTGCCTTTTCCAGTACACTGGCAATAGTTCACCTGTCTTCCCAAGTGATGTGTAAAAATTTTCAGAGACACCATTGATGGAATCTTTCAAGGAGTTGGAGATGATGTTTATAAGTGGTCCATGTTTCACAAGCATACAGTAAGGTTGGTAGTACAATAGTTTTTTAAACAAGCAGTTTGGTTTCCCTGCAAATGTCCTGGTCCTCAAACACTCTGCACTTCAATCGGGAGAAAGCCGCACTCACAGAGCTCAGGCAGTGCTGGATTTTGGCATCAATTTTGACCCTTGTGGAAAGATAACTGCCTAGGTCGGAGAAATGATCAACATTTTCCAACATTACACCATTGAGTTGGATTTGAGTTGGAGTTGGACTTGGGGACCAATCCAACAAATCCCGAAGTTCTAGTGTTTTGACAGAGGGGTGAACTTTTATTTCTCCATAACATGCATAATTCTGTGCTCTTCTGTCATGTCCCCTCTTCCTCACCTTTCCTCTAACCCAGTCTTTCTCAACCTGTTGGTCTCCAGATGTTGTTGAACTACAACTCCCATCACCCCTAGCTAGCATCAGGGATGATGGGAGTTGAAGTTCAACAACATCTGGGGACCCACAGGTTGAGAACCGCTGTGTCTAACCTAAGAAGCCCCAAATGTCATAACTTTTCCTTAAAGGCATGTAGCTTCATCTCCAGGAAGCAAGCCCACAAGAAGAGCTCTGCTGCAACAGGCCAAAGGCCAATCTAGTCTATTTCAAGTGATGATGATACTGCTTTATATGTACAGAATAGAAGGGGGCTAAGCATATTTTATATTTCAGCACAGAATCTTGAAACATTCTGAATACCAAACATTTTTGCAGAGCATCATTTGTATGAACAGTGAGCAGAATGTGACCCCGAACTGCTTAGTTTTACAAAGGGACGTGCTGGATTCTTTTTTTGGACAGGATGAACTTGAACTAGTTAAATGAACTTTATAAAGACTCTGTTCCTTTTTCAGTGGTACCATTTTAACTAAACTGGAGAACCACAGCCTTCCATCCCTTAAAGGTTTGGGGCACATGCATGTGTAATAGAACCTTTCCTGTAAGTCCCAAAACACACGGTCGTTTGTTGTTTGCAGGCCTAAAGACCTTCATTCTCACAGCCACAGTCTAGGTCAACAGAGAGTAGCAATATATTTAGCACGAAACCACAGAGGGGGGGAACCTATTTGCCAGCTTGGGAACACTGAAAGCTAAGGAATCGGCCGATCGGAGAAGGGAAATTCTCTGGCCTTTCCACCCCGCAAAATAAATCTCTGGTTTTAAGATTTCAAGGTAGTTTCAGCGTCTTAATATTTATTTGTGTCTGTCTGAGGTTTTATGCCTTGTTCACTGTCTGACCCTGTTGGGTTAAAAGGACAAGAGGGAAATATGCATCTGTTCTGCTAGATGCTGTCAGAGGGCATCGTCTTAAATCGTGACTTTCCACAACCATAAGAGACAGCGGCAATGGAACAGAAAGTGGAGGTGTAAAATAATTCCCAGCGCACTTGCAGCCAACATGTTTGTCACTAGCAGCTTTCAGAACACCTTGGGATGGCGCTGTGGAACTGAGCACTAGCTGGATCCGGTTTTTCAGGAAACCGGGATTCTGAAAAGGGTGTCCCAAAGTTTCCTGGAGGAGCGGGATCAACTCCCCTTTGAGGAAAGGTTAAAATACCAGCAATTCCCCAGGTGCGCATGATCAGCACATGCACTCCCGCAGATGCATGCAACATTTTCAGCGCTGAAAGGGAGTAGAAACGGGGGCCCAATGGGGCAGGGTGGTAGCAGAATGCAGGAACCCCCGCTCACGTGTCCTGATGATGCACGTGGCAGCTAGGAAAATAATAATAATAATAATAATTTATTATTTATACCCTGCCCATTTGGCTGGGTTTCCCCAGCCACTCTGGGCGGCTTCCAACAGAACCCTAAAATACGATAACCTATTAAACATTAAAATCTTCCCTAAACAGGGCTGCCTTCAGATATCTTCTAAAAGTCTGGTACAGTGGTACCTCGGGTTAAGTACTTAATTCTTTCCGGAGGTCCTTTCTTAACCTGAAACTGTTCTTAACCTGAAGCACCACTTTAACTAATGGGACCTCCTACTGCTGCCACTGCACTGCTGCGTGATTTCTGTTCTCATCCTGAAGCAAAGTTCTTAACCTGAGGTACTATTTCTGGGTTAGCGGAGTCTGTAACCTGAATCGTATGTAACCTGAAGCGTATGTAACCCGAGGTACCAGTGTAGTTGTTGTTCTCTTTGACATCTGATGGGAGGGCATTCCACAGGGCAGGTGCCACTACTGAGAAGGCCCTCTGCCTGGTTCCCTGTAACTTGGCTTCTCGCAGCGAGGAAACTGCCAGAAGGCCCTCGGCGCTGGAACTCAGTGTCCGGGCAGAACGATAGGGGTGGATACTCTCCTTCACGTAGTCCTCCTCCTGTGCAAGTGGGGATTCCCCTGTATTAGGGGCTTTTTAGTTTAGGTGGGAGGCGAGCAATGGGGAGCAAAACCTGTGAATCCCTTTATGTGTGAAGAAAGTGGGTAGAGATGTTTTTCTCCTTCCTAATACTAGAACCTAGCACCATCCAATGACACTGAATGTTTGGAGATTAAGGGCAGACACAGAAACTTCTTCACATGGCTAGTGAACTATGGAACTGGCTGCTTCTTGATGGAGTGATGGCCGCCAACGGGTGGTTTTAAAATTTGTGAGGATAAGGCTGTTAATGGCTGTGAGCTCCTTCTGGTATCGGAGGGCAGTAGGCCTCTGAATACCAGTTATTGGGAATTGCAGGTGGGGAGAGTAGTATTGTTCTCAAGTCCTGCTTGTGTGCTTTCCAGGAACATCTGGTTGGCCACTGTGATAGCAGGATGCTAGATTTGGTGGGCCTTTGGCCTGACCCAACAGAGCTCCTCTTAAGCTATTTGCCTGTACCAAAGAGCCTGGATCTTTGCAATGGTTCCACACAGATTGTTCAGTAAGGATAAATCAGATTTAAGAGGCCATTTCACATATTATACAGAGGTCAAGCTGGGTTTGCCACCTGGTTTAAAATCTCTGCCTGATCACATCTCCTGGCTGTGCAGAAAGAGGATTGTCACAGCCACACATTGCATTTAAGACCTTAGCAGGCAAAGCAGAAGGTTCCTAGCTTGAGTCTGGGTGACTCTCAGGAATGCATAAGAAATGTGTCCCACCCGAAAAAGGAAAGGGGAAAGTACACATGAAAGCTCTTCCTGTTGTTCTGTACCCAGAGGCAAAACTTTAAAAAGTTACTACTCTGTATTTGGGAGAACCAGTACAGCCTAAGTGACTCAGGGATTGTCTTTAGCCATTTTGCCAAGTATGGATATTATTCATTCAGATTTAGTCATAGCAGGGTTTGGGGGGGGTGTTACTTTTTTTAAAGCCAAAGAGGCCCCTGGAGAGGCTTGCAAAGATCAGTAGTGAAACAGTCCCTGCTCTCAGCTTACAATCTTAAAAAACATAGCACACAAGGAAAGGTGGTGTGGAGGGAAGAGGAAAAAAGAAAGCTCAGACATTGTTCTTTTTTCTTTCTTTTTTTAAAAAAAGTAACTGGGATAGAAACCAGTCAGGTAGGCTGATGGAACGGCTGCCATTAGGTGACAGTTCAGGAACAACAAAAGACACTGATCTCCCACAGGTCTGTTTATCATCTCCTCCTGCTCTGCATCTCAATAAAAAGGCTGCCAGCTTCTGACACTTGTACTACAGTGCAGGCTGAACCATTGGGTGAAGAGGACACTGCTTCACCAAGCTCATTCTGCACTGGCTGTCAGCCCTGTCTGTCACCTTCCTCCTCAGTATCAGTGCAGGGAGGAGGGTGGAGACAAAGCGACAATAAATTAGCCTCACCTATTGTTGGCTCTGACTGTACCTCCCTCCTTCCCTACTGGGCACAAGCCACCACTGTTGCACCAATATAGTAATTTGGGAACTAGGTGCTAACTCTGGGCAACTCGACTTCAGATACATATTAATTTCTTTGAAAAAGAGTGCTATTTTTCATTAACACTTTGATCAATATCCTATTCTTTTCTTTCAAGCAAGCAGCAGCATGAGATGGGTGTGATGATGAGTATACTCGCTGATCACAGAGGATCATCTGTTTTCACTTGCCAGTGCAAATACAATAACGTTGCCCCAGAAATTGCTGTGAACTAATGTAAAGCCGGCAAGTGTGAATATTTTATGTGGAGAATAATGCTAGGCCCAGAAAACCCGGGAAGGAAAGAAACCCACTATTCAAAGAATTTAAGTTTGGCACTATTGAGGTTATGGAATTCTGCCTTATCAAATGCAAGGAGCTTCTACTCCTAAATACAGTTCGCTGTGCGTTTCACCGCTGTCTTTAAAGATAAGTCAAAAGCACTCCCTCGCCAAGACATACAGAAATTTGCGATCCATCTAGCCAAGTCCAGCCCATCAAGCGGAGGCACCTCAGTTCCAGGGGCCAAACATTCATCTCTAGGCCTCTCTCTCTCTGCCCCCCAAACTCTCCCCAGGGCACACCCTTTGCTGGGACTGCACAACACCCTAAGTGTTTTTTGCCTGGGTTCCAAGTTTATTTTTATTTATTGATTCAAATTTGTAGATCTCACAGTGGCTCGCGACATAAAAATACAAGATGAAAACATAACCAAAACAAGAACGAAAAACCGCAAGCCAATAACCCCCCACCGCTCCCACAAACACATTTAGAAGAGTATAGAATGTTAATCGTATTTCATTCATTTATTAAATTTGCACAGTTGTGCAGGCCAGCTTGTGACCATACAATTGGTGTACCAAATCAATTCCCCAGGTACAAATAGAGGCATTCACGGCAGCTGCCACTGCTACCAAAAAAAACTCCCACAAACCTCTGAATGCATTGAAGTTCTGACATTATTCAGAAGCGCTCAAAGTGCAAGGGACACTTCAACTAGTTTCCAATGGCATGGGAGTAAGCAGAGGTGTTTACAACACAATCCTGTGCACATCTACTGCAGTGAGTTCAGTGAATCCTGCTACCAGGTATGTAGGCATAGGGCTGCAACTTTAATGCTTGCTGCAATGGCCTGATGGCGGCTGTTTGGCCTCTGGGACTCTTCCCACTCTTTCCCCCAGACCACATCACTATGCTGCTCCATAGCTCCATTCAGCAGCAACAGTGCTGCATGGAGGTGCCAGTTGGGAAGCAGAATACTTTCCTTGCCCTGGGCTCCAGCAATCCATGCTATGCCACAGCCTCACAGGGTGGTTGTGGGGAAAACCACGTACACTGCCTTGAGCTCCTCAAGAGAAAAAGGCAGTACAGTGGTACCTCGGGTTAAGTACTTAATTCGTTCCAGAGCTCCGTTCTTAACCTGAAACTGTTCTTAACCTGAAGCACCACTTTAGCTAATGGGGCCTCCTGCTGCTGCCACACCACCGGAGCACAATTTCTGTTCTCATCCTGAAGCAAAGGTCTTAACCCAAAGGTTATTTCTGGGTTAGCGGAGTCTGTAACCTGAAGCGTTTGTAACCTGCGGTACCACTGTATGTAAATGTAAGAAATAAAACAAAGAGCTGCCTATTCAGCATGTGAATATTGCCCTGAAATTCACATCACAATGTCAGGGATGAGAAATAATCCCCCCCCCCCCCCTTGCAGGCTCAAATGCCTAGCTTTTATGTTTTACAGTCCAAGACTCTAGTCCAATTCCTTTTGTCAGCCAGCTTGAAGATACTCTCCTCTATTCATGTTTCTTGTGAACCACCCTGTGATTTCCAGGTGAAGGGTGGTATAGAATTTGATGATGATGATGATGACGACGACGACAATGAACTAAGCCCACACTGGCAGCAAGTATTATACAGTCATACCTCATGCCGTGTCCGCTTCAGGTTATGTGTTTTCGTGTTGTGTCCCACAAGCAACTCAGAAGTACCGGAACAGGTTACTTCCAGGTTTTGCCGCATGCGCAGAAGCACTAAATTGCGCCGTGCGCAGACATGGCACTTCAGCTTACATCAGTTCCGTGTTATGGACGGGCCTCTGGAACGGATCCCATCTGTAACACAAGGTTCCACTGTATGTAACTTATCTTTATATTGCTACAGGATGAGTCTCAGCCCTTCAATGGACCTTTCGGAGCCGAGTCTGAAACGGCTTCTCTTACAGTCTGTTGTGCCTCCGTGCTGGGAATTGACTGTGATAACGCCACGTGATGTTTACCAATGTGTAGCGTGGAACTCATTGCCAGTTACTCCTTATCGCATGTTATGACGATCACACTTGAAAGAAATGCTATCAGACAAACCACGATTGTTTTTTAAATATTTGCGTATGTGCATTAGGTTTTTATCACTTGTTTGCTGTGCATGGCTATTTATAAGCACTATCAGCCACTTGCCAGGGCACCTCGGAAAGCGACGCCTATTTTGTATATGTGTGATTATTACAGGAATATGATTACAGGCTGATAGTCGCTGCCTGAGGCAGCATTGTCCTGACCTGTGGAAGGCAATGGCAAATGACCTAACGTCCCTGGAGAAGTTATCCCACAGGTATCACTTGACGCAGGGTGTCCACTGCTGACAGTACAGACCTGCAGCCAAAGACACGGCCAGTCAGTTAGAAACAATACTGACCATATTGATGCAGTAATAAGTTCTGCTACAGGGTTTCCCAAACTTGGGTCTCCAGCTGTTTTTGGACTACAACTCCTATCATCCCTAGCCAGCATGGCCAGTGGTCAGGGATGATGGGAATTGCAGCCTAAAACATCTGGAGACCCAAGTTTAGGAAACCCTGTTCTACTGAATTGAGTGAGCCTTACTCCCAGGGAAGCGCAGTTTGGGTTGCAGCCTTAAACTCTTAGCTCCTATGCTATTCCAGCTCTGCTGGGTTCCCCGAGTTACTGTGTAACTTTTGAAAACCAGCTTGCTAAGCAATGACTCGTTTACGAGCCGCGGTTTAGCAGAAATCTTTACTGAGATAGTGCAGACAGTTTGATCTCAGTGAAATATTCTGTTCTGCTTATTTTACTGTTCCCTAAGCCCTTTGGATTACAGGCATCTGGATTGTTGCTGGGGATTCAGCTGTGGTACTTTTCCCACAGCAGCCTTCAACCAATATCCGTGCATGGTATTTATAGCGCTTATCAGATCGAACGGCCGTGCGGGTTCCATCCAGCGCCAATAAGATCCATGGGAGTTTTTTTTGTCGTCGACTTCAGTGGCGATTGGACCGGACTTCTCTGCCAGTGAAACCTGTAATAAAATTGCTGGTCGTTTGACCTTCGCTGAAAAATGCAGAACTCTCTTAAATGCTTCTGGAGCATCTGGAAAAGGTTACTAAATCCTGCCTGACTAGCTGACAGTGAGAGCGAGTGTAAGAGCTGGGAAGCTCAAGGATAGGAGATCTCCTGCAATTCCCCTCATTTTGGAAAGGCTTGGGGCCTGTATCACACATCCTGAGCGAAATAAGGTGGCAACCCTTTGGCTCTTGTTTACAAATTCTAGGGACAAACCATAGGGTTGCCAACTTTCTATACTACTCCTGCTCTTCTGTTCAATACACAGAAATTTAGCAGGGAACATTTTTCTTCGTGTCGTAGGGAGAAGATTCACCTGTGCTATTTCAATGTGTTGGGCTTCTGTTAAAGGATACCTCAGACCTGGGGGCTGAATGTGGTCTTCCAGGCCTCTGGACTCTCCCCACCCCCATCTGGCCACATCCTCCACTGTCATCTGAAGACAGCCCTGTACAGGGAAATTGTATTGTGTGATGTTGTATTGTGTTTTTACTGTTTTTTGTTGGGAGCCGCCCAGAGTAGCTGGGGCCAACCCAGTCAGATGGATGACATATAAACAATTGATGATGATGAGGTCCTGAACCCATGGCCTACCAGGCTGCAAGTCATGATGCCAAGCCTGGTGTTCAAAGTCTGGAGGTCAATCCATGCAAGCGGAGTCCAAAGGTCAAGAAACGCAGTCCAAGGTCAGCCGAGTCTGGAGTCCAGCCACCAGGATGCAGTCCAGAGTCAAACCCAAAACACAGTCCCGTAGAGGTCCAGGAGCATCTAAGCCAGGCATCCCCAATCTTTGGCCCTCCAGATGTTTTGAACTACAATTCCCATCATCCCTGACCACTGGTCCTGTTAGCTAGGGATCATGGGAGTTGTAGGCCAAAACACCTGGAGGGCTGCAGGTTGGGGGTGCCTGATCTAAGCCAAGGTCCATCAACATGAGCAGCTGAGCAGACCCAGCACCTCAGTTCTGCGCCCCTGTTGAACTTTGCCTGCTGATTGCAGCATCTGGGCTTGACGAGGCAGGTGACCCTCACCTGCTCCAAGTCTACTCCAGCTGGGGAATCACACCCCTCCTCCCAGAGCTAGTGAGCCCCACATAGCCAGCTGTGGGCCCTTGCCTGCCTCGACCTCCTGGACCACCCCTCTACTGCTCCCTCTACCTCAGAGCCTGCTGTGTTCATGGAGACAGGTGCCCCTCTTTGGTGTGGCATGTCCTGCCCTGTGAAACTCCTTGCCAACTGAAGTTCAGCACGAGTCTTCCCTGCTTTATTTTAAATCTCCTTCAAAAACTGCATTGTTCAGGTGGGCCTGTTTTGGAACTTGATTTTCTTTTCTTTTTTAACCATTTATTTTGGATATGTTATTGGTGGTTTTGTTGATGCTATTGTCATCATTGGGTTTCTATGTTCTACATCCCCTTGTCATGTTTTCTATGGAAAATGTTTCAAGAAGGATGACATTTCACCTTGGATTGACTAGACTTTGGTGCGGAGGAGGAAGGACAGAGAGTGAGCTGGGTCCCTGTTCCTGGAACCCTACGGCAGATGTGAGGCTTGTCTGTGTGGTTGTTATTACCACAGGCTAACTCAAACACATGGACAAATATGGAATGTGCAAGAGAGGCCTAATGCATTTAGGGAAAGGATGCCCAAAAAGGATCTGCATAAATAAATGAAGAGAGGCTTTTATGAAACATATCGACTGACTTCATGTCTCGATTCCACAATTCCACTCTGGGGGAGCAGATTAAAAGAATATCTAGGCCTTTAGTCAGCCAGTCCATCTCTTGCAAACAAGATGGGTTTTCATACAACCACTGCGGAGAATAGTGTCAGAGGTAGCAGAAGCAATATAGGGAAGGTTCTGTTGTTGCTTTTCTGGGGGGAAAGTTAAAACTTTTATAAGTCACTGACAAAATATGGGGAGAAGAGGAAGGACAATTCATTTTTGGATACTTCTATATTTACATGTCACTGTATATTAATACCCACTTTATAAAAAGAATGTTATATTAATACCCACTTTATAAAAAAGAAAGAAAAAAGAGTAACTAGTTCTTTTTGTCTTTAAGGAAGCATAACATTTAAAAAGGTAGGGCTCCATTTACTAATTTAGCTTTGATTTCTTTGTCCTTTCTTTTTTTGTTAAAATATCAATGTAAAGGGACCCCTGACCATTAGGTCCAGTCGTGGCCGACTCTGGGGTTGCCGCACTCATCTCGCTTTATTGGCTGAGGGAGCCGCCGTACATGCTGGTCATGTGGCCAGCATAACTAAGCCGCTTCTGGCGAACCAGAGTAGTGCATGGAAATGCCGTTTACCTTCCCACCAGAGCGATACCTATTTATCTGCTTGCACTT